CGAACTTGACCTGCGTTTTAGTAAGATTGATTGCTCCTGTGAGTTTCATGACAACAGGCCTATCGGTTTTCCTTGAAATGTGTTAACAGTGTTGTATATATGCTGAAAAGTGAAAAAACAGCATAACTTCTACAATAATGGCTCGATCATGCTGATTTTCGAACTTGACCTGGGTTTTATGAATATTCATCAGCTCTGTAAATATAAAGCCAAAAAGTAAAACTTTCTTCCACTTATCGTGTTAACGCTGAAAGTGCACGGCGCCGGCATCGGCGACGGCATCGGCATCGGCGACGGCGACGACGGCGACGACAGACGCAGGTGATGGCAATATGTACAGACACATCTGTGTCTGTACATAAAAAAGAGAGAGAGGCCCTACTTGACGTTAGTCCAGTACGTCCGTGTCACATATCGAAATGCTAAGGACATTTTACATGAGGCACAGCCAAGCAAGACTAAAGGTTTTAGATTATATTTTCTTCTAACATTTAGTAAATGAGCATGCCCTTCAACTCAACTTCTGCTTTCTGGGTTAATTTTCACGTCTCTGACCCAGGGAAAATAGATGCAAATATTCTATTCATCAACCATCAGGGGCCGTCGCAATACTTATGCAACCATGTGAATGGCACTGTATGATTCTCTTTCTTGTTTCTATTGATATGGAAGTAACACAAGTGCCTTGATATATGAATTTAGTGATTTGATTAAAGCTAATAGTACAAAATGCTTCAGACCAGAGCAGTTATTTCTGTACTGACAAACATAACCATAGACTGTCTACTTATATTAGTACTACACAGATTTAGACCATTCTCTCTACTTTGCAGGTGTAGGAGCAGGGGCACTCAAAAAAGGAAATTGAAGTTCATGTAGACTTACTAGAATATATGGAAAAAGATTTTTACAAAGTGCAGACATTACTAAAAACCGGTATTTAGCAGTTCATTGCACATCACTTAAACAGTGTAAAACATTCACTATGTTCAACTTGACAAATTTACTTGAATAATGCCATATCTAAATACAATAATAAACAATTCAAACATAACCATTTTTGTGAATAAAGCAAAACTAACATCAAAAGCAAACCACCCAAACTGCTTCATGTTCTACGTCCTTTTAGTCCATCACAGACTGGACATAACAGTTATCACCAGTTGGAGACAAAATGGGCAGATGAACAAGGAACACCAGGTGAACATTATTGGCACAGCAGACCTAATAGTGACAAAGGTTGTGACAAATTATAAACCTTCATCACCAGTGAGACCATCATGTTCAACTATATACAAAGAGCTGACAACATTTAGTTTACTTGAATAGGACAATAGGCCATATCTGACGTCAAGCTTATAAATACAATGTTGTCAATTGTTATTAATTTTACACAGATCATATCTGAGTAAGGAGGGAAGGGACATGAAGTTTATTCCTTGTTGCTCATCAATGTTATCAAAATCATGATATTCCACAGTGTATTCAGCATGTACCAGTGCCCTCCTGGCCCTGTATTGGTTCTCTCCTCAGCAGACTGGAAGATTGCACAACATGATTCCTTTCTTGGTGTAACCTCCTGTCCTCTTCCTCCTCCTCTTCTTCCTCCTCCTCCTCCTCACTACTTCTAGCACCATGATTATCACTGTCCTCATTATCCTCTTCATCTTCAGAGTCCTGTAAACTAACATTATGAAGGCCCCGCCCCACACCAGCGACCATGTCATCACTGGGAGGGAGAGCTCTATCAGGAAACACAGTGGGGTTTGGCAGCTGAGAGGTGGGGGCACCAGATGTATGTGATGGCAGCTGTGAGTTTGAGCTGCTAGTTGCCTGTATGTTGGCATTAACTTGGTGTGGGGCTGGATTAGAGGGAGCAGTAGCAAGTGAAGTAGAAGAATGGCTTTTAGTGGTAGTTGACCCCCCAACTGCACCTGCTGTATCCTCCTTCCCATATGCACCCTCTCTGTCCTGTGGCATGGAACTGCATATCTTTAAACCAGCCACACCCTTTTTTGGGGCAGATGACAAGTCACGTTTTATCTTTCTCCTTCTAGCAGGCTCATTCCTCCTTATCTGTAACATATTTTCAAGATCTATGACATACAAAAACCCAGCTATCAATAACTCAAAGGCAGTTTCCCCTTTCTTGAACTTTTCTTCCAGTTCATTGCTGGTTCTTTCATCATACTGCCACCAGCCATTGTTTCCCTTATAGAACCACTGATAGGTATCATCATCCTGTGGCACATTCCTCTCTAGTTCCTCTCTCTTCACCAGAGCTGGGCGATACAGGTAGTCAGTGGGGATCTCTGTCCTGCACAGCGCACACCGCTTACTTTGGTTGGCTACTCCTTTCACACACAAGAAGCAAAAGATGTGATTACAGGGCAGTTTGACAGGATGGACACAGGTCTGCAGGCACACTGGACATTCCAACACCACCTCCCCAGCAGAGGATGGCACTGCAAATACACAATAAGAATATAGATAGATTGGTTTCATCATCTTTCAAAAACATCTCAACTGATTACCAATTGTGAGTTACAGTAATCAGGGTTGTTAAAGAGTGAGTGGCCAAGTTTTTTCCTTCTTTAGTCAATCCAAATCAAAGTAGTTAAGGTCAGGCCAGAGTGAATACAAAAACAATAACAGGGGTTGTTACTAGTGTAGGCCAGGCCAGAGTGAATACAAAGAAGATGATATTTATGCTTTTGGAATAGCCCTGTTTAATACATTATCCATTTTTTGCAGAGCCTCCGGTCTCGGATTCGAGGAAATAATCTTTGCTGTGCTGCTATATTAAAAAGTCGAATTTTGAAACCTGAAAATGGGAGCTCACCTTCTTGCGTTTCCTCTATGCCCCCTTTCTTTTCTACTATCGCAACTTCTTTCACTGTGTTGGGAACGACCTTGCGCGGCTGAGTAGTCTGGACCCTTCTTTGGTCCATCTTGAAAGCTTTTTCACCCTTCAGATACCCCAGTAATATTTAACGTCCCATTTTTATCCCCAACAACATTTTTAAAGATATTTACATTATGCTGAAGAAAAATAGTTCTAGGAACCTTCTTTTCAATGACCACAAACTATATCGTCATAGCATTTTGAATAAATAAGTGTCCAAAGTTTATGGAAATCAGACGGTTTCTCTCAATTGACCAGTTTTGCAATAATTAAAGAATTGAAAATGTTTGCGGAAGAATTTGTAAAACTAATAACCAATTACAAAGCTAGTTCTTCTTCAATGCGAAGCTGCTCTCACGCACTCGACAAAATGGCGGAATTCGACTTGACAAGCCGCATGGGCCAATATTTAGACCGTCATATGGTCTTTCCTTTATTGGAATTCTTATCAGCAAATGGGGTAAGTTTTCTTTACCTCTGTTTCAAAACAGGAATGAGACCAAGAACCATAAAGTGATGAACTACTTTACCAAACCTACCATTTGTATATAGCCTGTGTCCTCGACATCAGCCGACTGCATGGTCACATAATAAATGAAGTAGAGGCGACGGATGCTTAATTATTAAAACATAGACAGTCCACAAATATAAACTTTATTTGACAGCTGCATGTTTGTTCTCATAACCTAGTTCTAAGGCTGAAATAGTAATTCCTTTGTCATTTCTCTTCATAGAATTTTATACCATATGGCATTAAGTTGAATTTGTCATCAAATTTTGTCTACTGCATTGTTATCAACAGATCTGACATCAACCTGAGGAGAATCCTTATTGACAATCAAAAATGTTTTTAGAATTACTAGCCACCATGCCTTACTCAGAAAACTGACAACAATACAAAGCATCTCCAAACTGAGAGCAGCTTGCCAAGGTTAATGCTGTACTTTCTTCTGTCTAATAACAGGAATAATAACATTTGTTGTTTATTCAATATAGTCCCCTTGTCTCAGACCATTCTATGAGATGACGAACACTCATTTAAGAAGAAACATTGAAATAAATGGTGGAACTGAGAACTACAATTGGCTTGTTTGTAGTACATTATAATACAGTTCATGAGTTTTAAAATTAATCCCGATTCTGTGTTCTTCCTAAACTTTGGCAATCAGCTGAGCTTGGAAATGCATTGCTGTTGATGTTGCTTTGAAATTCTTGTTTTAATTTTGTTCCTGTCTTTTTATATTGTTCTTTTTAAATTGTTAATCCCAAGTTTTTATTAATATTATTTTGTTTTACCTATAAAGAACTAAACACATTTTTTCCAAAAAATATTATTGTTCAGTAGATACTGGTACCTCAATGTATAGAGCAGATTTTATGAATTGATATTATGAAAGATTTCTATTATGTTTCATCTGGCTGGTAAATCCCACTTTCAAAATTTAGTTTTTTAAAGTAAAGTTTTGTTTGTATGGAAGATATTATTGTTGAAGTTATGATATATTATATTATGAAGTCAAAGGAATGTTAACCAGTGGCAATTTTATTATCAACTGTTTGTTTAAAGAAATTGTCTGTGCATTCTTTTAGTTGTATGATGAGCAAGAGATGCTGAAAGGGAAACTGGACTTGCTGAGCAATACAAATATGGTGGATTTTGCCATGGATGTATACAAGAGTCTCTACCCAGAGGATGAAGTTCCACAGAGTAGGTGTCAGCATGAACACCATGTCAGTGTGCCAGATGTGCCACTGTGTTGGTTGTGGCAAGTGCAGCAGTGTGTTGGTCACTGTTGGATGAATGTGGGGGTGATTTTTTTTATCTGAATAGTTTAGATTAGGTTTTATTTTCATTTTTAAGATTTTTACTTGGTAAAAATTACTAAGTTACAATTTATGTTGTGAATGGTACAAACCTTTTTTCTATTACATTTAGCATATTGTAATATTTAGTATAGATAATTTGATATCCTTAAGTTGTTTACTTTACCAATTAACAAAGAAAGAAATGTTATCCAGGGCATAACCAATGTGTGATTTCGTAAAAATATGGTAATCACCATCTTGTTACTGATCTATGACTACATTGTATTCTGTGCCATATGGATCTGGTGAGTATTATTGTTGTGATTGAAGTCCAACTTCTGTCAGTGTTGCACAAGGTAAAGTGTTTTGTCATATATCTTAGTCATGATGGTTGTATTCTTTATTAAAATGCTTATGACTGAGAAATTCCTGCATATATGTATTTTATGAATGTATTATGATCAGATTACAATGGTTGAAGATTGACCATACATGCCATGTATTCTTTGAAAACATTTGTGTACCCAGTGTCATTGTTCATTCTTACATTTTGCACCTCAAGCTGCTGTAGGTTAAACTGTATATTCTGAGAAAACATTGATGTGCCCCTTTTGTTGTAAGCTAAAACTGTGCATTTTTAGAAAACATTTATGTGTCTTGTAATCTTGCTGTGTTTTTTTTATATTCATACTTAGAAAAGAATGCTGCTTAAAATCTGAGCTTTTCATTCGTACACAATGCAAATGTGCCTAATGTTGTTGTGAACAAAAATTTCCCTTTCATAAAAAACACTGGTGAACTCGTACAGTTTTTATTAATGTTGAAATAGAAATTAATTACCATCAGTTATTCTTTTTGTAATATATTTCACACAGCTACTGTATACTGGGTTTTTCTGGGGTCCACAACAAATTTTTGGTATTAAAGGTACATACGAACCGAGCATCGGTGGAGCGTGGATTCCCAGTAACACTTGTAAACCACTTCTACTAGATTCTTATATGACTCAGATAAATTAGACATGCCAAGGGATAAACTGAATAGATCACTCGATCAGCCATAAAAGACCTTTAGACTGCTCCTTTCTTTAAATTTATGGTTGTAAATTTAACCTACTTTCTTGACCTACTTTCCTGCCCCATTGACATACAGCTTAGAATGCCAGCAGAAAAATCCGTTCAAACATCATTTTCGGGTAAAATTAAACAATGCTTTTTGGTAATTCTCTTAGTTATACTACTTGAAACTATATGCTGTCATTTGGTTGGTTTTTGTGACAAAAAATTGACTTTGTATGCATCTTTAAACCAACTTCATTCAAGTGACAGTTTAAGTATGTTATTTGTCTGTTTATTTATTTATTTGAGTAAACAATTCTGTACAGTCATTTCTGGCATATTGATTTTGCATAAAAATGCTATTGTTGAATGGATCTAGAGCAAAGTACTTACATTTCTCAAAGGATTCCATTGATTATTGCACAGGTTATCTAAACAGAGGTTAGATTACATAACCCTTTAAACTGGCCTTATAAAAGACTTGGGGTGCTTTCCCAGACATTTAGATCGATCTAAAGATTAAGTTTTAGATCGACCTAACTCCCTGGGGGTTCAGGCTAAATTGCAGTCAGCCGAGCGGACACCATAGTTAATTACCCCCTTACAGCTTTTAGTAGGCGGGACAGACGCTTAAGCTGGCCAAGCTGACAGAAATCTAGTGAGACTCCCCACAGGGATAGATCGATCTAAAAATTTATGGAAATGGGGTGTTGATGTATATGTTACAGTTTTAGTTAACAAATGACATTTCTTTTCCCAGCAGACAACATGTGATGTATTGTCCTGGAAACTTGTGACATAAAAATTGGTGTTGCTGATTCCCATCTGACTTACTTCACTTTTGCAACATATATCAGTTTGGCATGAATTGCACCTGAATTTTATTTTGACAATTTTTGTTCCAGATCTTGGAGGGGAGACTTGGATATCTTTTACAGCACTCAAAGATAAGCGTGGGGAGGTGGTATCAGAATTGAAGAAGTTACAGGCAGACACAGAACCAGTTGTCAAAATATTTGAAGATCCTGAGGTGTTACGACAAATACAAAATTCACGGTAAGGAATTTGCTGTTCCTTTTTTTTTTTTAAAGTAGAAATGTACAATATAAGGTAATGCATCACTTTTCGGAAATATTTCACTGGGTAATAGTATGTTTTCAAGGGTTTTTATTTACTATTTTGTTCAGGGATGGAAGACTTCACTTGGTAGTAGTAATTGTATTCAAATGTATTGTATTTATATTTATTCAGGGATGGAAGACAACTTTTTGAATTTTTATCTAAGGAGTACAATGTAAGTATACATCCATATGTGTGCTTTCAGGACTCATGATAGGGTTTTATGGACCTGAAAATCTTTATTATTGCATTTGATCTTTATTTGTTTGAATCAGAATCATCTTTGTAAATATTTTGAGTAATAATTAACCATCTGAATTTTTGTTGTATACATACTATGAAAGTGAAGAATGTCATTTTTAGTTGTCATATGGAACAAAGATAGAATATTTGTTATACCTCACTTATTGTCAGTTTAATGTCTACTATTCAGGTAACCAGTGAAATGATCAACACACTATACAACTTTGCTAAGTTCCAATATGAGTGTGGCAACTACTCTGGTGCAGCTGAATACCTGTATTTTGTTAGGGCACTTGTAAGTTTATGGCATATGGCATCCAGAACATTGATAGCATTCAAGACACACATTTTATACTATAAAATACTATACTATGAAATTGAATAGCTTTACTTTGTCAGAGTACTGGCATGATAACAGATAACAGTTTTGAAATGCATTTTTTTTTAAATTGCAATTTGAGTTTTCCTACCTTTACATTTGGAAATGGCATTAGCACTAAACATAAAAGAAAAGCCTCTTAAAAGCATGTGACTAACTTCCAACAACCAGTCAGTGACTCCAAATACACATAGTATTGTGTCCTATCCTATTGTTAATGGTGTGATATTCCAGTTACCTCCCAATGACAAGAATGCCCTGAATGCCATGTGGGGAAAGCTGGCCTGTGAAATCCTGATGCAGAACTGGGACACTGCCCTGGAAGACCTGAACAGGCTGCGAGATGTCATTGACTCAAGTGTAAGTGAAACTACAAACAGGAGCTGTGCATGCATCAGGGATGACAATTTGCTGTACTGTGAACATTTCTAAACTAGAAGATAGAGATAATGAGTTAGGGCCCATGGGATGGGATGGTGAAACATCAAAAATGCAATACAAAACACAAAATTATGTAACAAGACAGAATGGGTAGCATTGATAGCAGAGACACTACATCTTCCACTATTAGATTTATGTTTAAAACTTTATTTATGGGAAGCAAGTATGTTTATCTCAGTAAAAAGATGATGATTATGTTATATTTTTCCAGCCTTTTACCACAGCACTTCAGTCTCTCCAGCAGAGGACGTGGCTGATCCACTGGAGCCTGTTTGTATACTTCAACCACCCCAAGGGCAGAGATCTCATCATAGACATGTTTCTGTATCAACAACAGTAAGTATATGGAGAGAAACAAGGGGGGATTTGATGGGATGTGAAGCTAGCATCTTGCTGGTGTGATTTCTATTGTAAGATACTGAACTATCAAACATTGAAAGTGGGGGCTGAAATAGAGTCTTATTTTGAAGCATCTGTTTGATGAAAATGAAATGTCAGGCTATTCTCATTGTATACATGTGCATACTTTGTATCTTTCTGTCAGGTACCTGAATGCCATCCAGACTCTGTGTCCACACATACTGCGCTACCTGACCACTGCGGTGATCACCAACAAGAGGCGGAGAACAGTCCTCAAAGACCTTGTCAAGGTCATACAACAGGTAAGTAGACTAGCCTCACTGTACTTCTATGTGCAATATCCACATCAGTAAATGAAAACTTTTTATTTCTATGCATAACTTACGGTTGCCTTAGAAATTGTTTAGTTGCATTGAACATAAGCATGTTCAAAATCTAAGAAGAGATTAAAGCCTTTCCTACAGAGCTGGCTTGTGTAGTCACATAATGGTTCTCTTCGGTGTTTGAGTCAAAGACAGAGAAATTGTGATTTTGATTTTTTTTAAAGCAATCCTTAAATAAATTTTTGTCAAATTCAGTAATTTTATATTTACCAAGTAGTTTGATATTTAATAGCTTTTTAATGTAAGTTTGGTTGTAGAAATATTGTACCTAACCTAACCATCACCAGTAGTTTTTTTTTTTTTTTTTTTTAAAGAAACATAACCCTAAACAGCCCCCAAGCTAAACATAAAAATGTATCGAAGTATTGACCTTTTAAAGCTTAAAAGGTCTTTATTTCGATACATTTTTATGTTTAGCTTGGGAGCTGTTTAGGGTTATGTTAACCTCACTGAGAAAACATATTTCTGTAAGCTCAGACACTGCTTTTAAATGTGCTGCTGGCTGTCTTTGTATCTTTTAATTGGTGAATGCATATTTTGTTTCAGGAATCATACACATACAGAGACCCAATAACAGAATTCTTAGAGTGCTTGTATGTCAACTTTGATTTTGATGGAGCACAACAAAAACTCAGAGAATGTGAAAGTGTAAGAGACATTCCTTATTACATCTAAAATAAAGAAGAGTTTAAAAGCTTCCTTACAGGCTTGGCTTAGCTGGCTTGTATACTTTGATACATACATTGTGTATAAATATTTATTGACAGTCGTTCTTTGGTAAGAGATGCTTTTAAAATGTCAGTCTAACTCAGCATCATTATTTTTTAATGTGTTGCTTTTTTAGGTTCTGGTAAACGACTTTTTCCTTGTTGCCTGTTTAGATGATTTCATTGAGAATGCCAGGCTTTTTATATTTGAGACTTTCTGTCGAATTCATGAGTGCATTAGTATTAAGTAAGTATGACAACTTGACACTCATGCTTCCCACACATTCTTTGCACTTTGCAACACCAAATTTCATCAAACATTCTAAAACACTAGCATCATGACAAAGGGGGAATAAAAACATGAGACAGAAGAAATAAAAATAAATTTTGGTTGATTATTTAGTTAGATAGGCCTCACCTGTATTTTTATATGCATAACATGTTCTAGGAAAAGATAAGTCCAGAATGTGTATGTTAACTTTGATATGTTTGCATTGTGTTAGTTGTGGTTCCATGCAGTGTATTGTGTTTGGCAGTGATTGCTGGGTTTATAAGTACTTGTAAACAGGCAGAAACAGTATAGAGAAACCAGAAAATGAATTTAATAACCTGGAGTTAATACCCAACACTATATATTTTGTTTCTTAATGTGTTTGAGTAATTTCATCAAGTCGTAACATTGGATTTAGAATTTGTAAATTCCTTGGGTTTTCTAATCCCATCCTCCTCTTCTTCTGTTTGAATGAGGGTAACTTGTATAACGTCACAAATATTTAGGAGGGAAATCACTGCATAATAAAGTGGGAACAATCAAGGAGTTTATGGGTAATTGCTTTTGGTTCATTGACCTCATCTGCCTTGGAATTGTTTTGGACGTCAAGGACTCTAAAGTTTACAAAAATCACCTTCCTACAAGCAATTTGTCTTTGGAGTCTTTGCACTGTCATGGGCACTGACCCCAACTTTCTCTGTGTATTGCAGCATGCTTGCGGAGAAGCTGAACATGACCCCAGATGATGCCGAGAGGTGGATTGTGAACCTCATACGTGGTGCACGGCTCGATGCCAAGATCGACTCCAAGTTGGTAAGGATCCTTTTCCTCTTCTCTCACTTCTTGATATTCTTAAGCAGAATTCTCCGCATGCACTTACATAGCATAATTATTGTAATATTTCTTGAAGACCATAACAGTTATTTTTCTTGTGGCATTCTGTAGTGTTTTTATATATATTTGAAACCAAAGATTTCAGTAGAATTTAGGGTTTATCATAGTGTGCATGTGTGCAAGTCTATCGTCAGTATGTTTCCATGCACTGTTGCTCAGAAATGATTTCCTTAGGAATGCTGTTTTTTTTTTTTTCATTAAAATCTTGTTTGTTCTCCTGAATCCTGTGTTCTGTCATGAAGGTAATGTATTGTGTTTGTTCTCCCAGGGTCACGTGGTGATGGGCACACAGGCTGTGTCTCCATACCAACAGGTGATAGACAAAACCAAGGGACTCTCCTTTAGATCGCAGATGTTAGCTATGAACATAGAGAAGAAACTCTCAGCAAAATCAGACTCGGTAGGTGTACATCACCTGTATACATGCTGTGTGTGTGTGTGTAAGCGGACGTGTGTGCGCACCCACAAGAAGAGCCTTCATGACTGAAAACATTTACTTAACATCTTAGCAATTGAATTATACAAATTAAGTAACTTTTCCTATTTGTATTTTAATTTTTATTTCTTCACAAAAATTATTAATACAATTGGATTTAATTTTTTCCTAATTTTAAGTCAGAGTTTTTTATCTTCTGTTTGTTACGAGTATATAATTCAACTGAATTATAATACTGAAATATATGGCAATAATTTCACTCAAAATGCCATATGACATGAAAATCACAAATCGTCGTTGTTCTCTGTTTGCACAAATAAGCTTACTGCTGTTTTGTGTCATCATATATAGAACTAATATTCTTGCAGGTGTGTAATGTATTTAAGAAAGGAGATTTATCCAGAATTGAGGTGAATGGCACAGAAAGTTGAGGATCTGTGCAGGTCACAAGGCCCCCACTTCATTTAAGAGTAGCTTTCATCAACAAAATTTTATATACCCCATTGGTGATGAATAAATTATTTGACAATATTGCCTAGAATACAGAATTCCAGATATAAATGAAAAGTGGTAAGATATGATTAGGGTCTTTAGTTGCATTACTAATTTTCAGTTGTAACTAATACATAATTTAATGATAAAATCTGATTATATCAAAAACCTCTTAAAAGCAATCATTGTTACAACAGTGATCTTTGCCAAGTTTGACTTTTTTTTCTTTTTTCAGTAATAAACTGCAGAGGAAGTGTCAAAATGTTATCAAAGCAAGGGTAGTGTGGCGAATTATGTCATGTAAACATTCTTTAGAGGTGAAATAAAACTCCAAACATATAACTAAATAGCTGCTGGTCATTCATACGGTGATTGTTTGTGAAATATTCATGTTAAAATACCAAACATTGCCTTAACAGTTTTCTTAAAGGTAAATTTGATTATAAAGGGATTTACATAACAGGATCCAGTCTGAACAAGAGGCATTGTTAGTGTTCAAAAGTTTGTGTTCAATAGTTTGTGTCTTGTGTGAAATGTGTCTAGCCAGAATTATGGTGGGCCATAGTCAAGGGGGGGGGGGTAATGTATTTTCATAGAACTGGATTGAAAATAGGCACATCATTTAGTGGAATTGAAAAATATCTTTTTTTTTCACCTTTGCACATATTATGGTCACAATTTGTAGAAGATATCAAACCAAACATGGGAAATTGGAATAGTTTGCTGCATCTGGTTTAGAAAAATAACTGATAGAGGCACTTCACATTATGAATTTGCCTGTATACTTGATTTTAAAACACTTTGGTCATTACAGTTTAAAGATTGAAGAGGGTTACTACTGATTTCTGTGAAGATTTCTTTCTTTTTTTCTTTCTTTCTTTCTTTCTTTTTATAAACCTAAACTATATTCCTATCTTTTTGGTGTGGTGGTGTTTTCTCAGTGCAGTCAAGAATTCTACTGTTTTAAAGCTCTATTTTGGCACCAGATAACCAGCCAGCTCTAGATACACAGTTGGTTTGGCATGACGATCTGGTTTGGTGGATTTAGACGAAAGCATCACAGAATTATTCTGGTTACACTGATGATATATAACCACAAATTAGTTAAGCAAACACTTCTCCCACATTGGTAGTTGTTTCTTGCATAAGCCTTCTGTGATCTGTTATCTAAAAAGAAATGTGCCACTACTTATGAGATAGATTCTCTAGCCAATCTACACTAGTTTACTGAGGTGATAGCAAGCTACTACTCTTGGCTAATAGGCTGATGTGAGTTTTACAGCCTGATGTGTCATGTTGAATTATATGGAGTTCATTTGAAGGGCCAGAGGGAATGCACTGGACTGCCCTCTGTCTGTTAGTGGCATGGGTGACTGAGAGGTAGATGTCACCATTGGTCTTCATTGGTTATCAGATAATGGGCTTGATGAGCCTAGTATAAAGTCCAGTGTTCAGAGAAGGGGGCCTTCGGTGCTTTCTATTGTTCTTACTGTTAATATGTTGTACTTAGACTTCTTATTTTTAAAACAGTCCAGGATGTAAATGTATTGTAGATGTATACATATAATACATTGCAATAGATATGTGGTGCAATATCCACAAATTTAGCTAGGTTAAATGTGAATATTAAATGATAATATATGTGTTACAAAGTTAATAAAACTGACATTGTTAGTGATGGATATTTCATTTCTTAATATAAATGTATATCACTCTATTTCTTCCTATTTTAGTGAAACTGATGGAGAAAGCAATTGCTTAATAATAGTGTTAACAGAAAACAGTGAACAGATTTTCTAACCTTATATACAAATGAACAGACATGAAAATAATCTCATATGAAATTTAAAAAAAAACAACACAAACATGCAAGTTAGGCAGTTCCATTATATTCACTTATATTTATAGGAAAGATGTCTCATGGTTAAGTAAGCACATTTCACATTTTCCCCCAACAGCTCTTAGCCTTACTCTCCCCCCCCCCCCCCCCCCCCCCCCAAAGACATTTTTACCTGGCTCATTTCACACTGAAATAGCAAACAAGTGTGTTTTAAAATAACTTGCAATCAAGTTATAATACCCAGCATACTGTGTCTTTATTTCAAAGCGTAGGTAGTGTATTGATGCGGCAGTAAGAAGCATTGCGCCTTGTATTGGCTGTGACATGAAGTGAGCATTGCTCAGCGTGGTTCCTGTATTATGTTGCTCTCTCAGTGCAAGAACATGTAAACAGCGTCTTATCCTTTACACTTGCCGTAGGTAGGAGGGAGCTGTGACCAGGCAGGCCTACAACCTGTCAGGTTTGCCCAAGGAGGTGTGGGTGTGTTTTTAACTGCAAGGCTTAATGTACATCAGGGGAATTAAATTTGATGCTTGAACAAACCATTCTCATGAAGGTTACAAAATCTAAAGGCTTCTTTTTATTGCCAGTGGTAATTTTGCCAGCTGTCTTAACATGCAGACTTTATGACCTGTTAATGGGGAAAGGAATCTGTAAGAGAACTCCTTTGATGTTTCTGCAGACTGATTTTATTCTACATTAATGGTTTCTTCTTATGGACAGGGAAACCAGAGTGAAATAATGCTGTGGTTTTTGAGGCAGTATTAATGGTTATATGAATCTCTTTTTGATTACACAAAGATTGATTAATCTATCTAGATGTTTGGTGTAAATGAGTCACTTTTAGACAAAAGAAAGTACTACCAGTGTCAGTGACCCCTTTTCCTCCCCCCCCCACTCCCCCCTGCTGTGGGTCTGTTATGTAAAACTAATTTAATTTACCAAAATACATTTTGTTTGAAAATAATCACACTGACTCAAATAGCTGTAGGAATGTGATGATAAGGAATTGGAGTTTTCCTTTCAAAGAAAAAGTCAATACCCAACCTTGCTCAACAGAATCATTTGGGTGTGGTGATTATTTAACCTGCAACTAGGACTGTTTTAGACCGGATATTTTACTAAAAAAAGAGTACCAGATAACACCAACGCATCACTGCCTATGAGCAACTTGATCATCCAGCAGTCTGTTTTGGGTTGTTGTCAATTTTTACACTGCTGTTTTAGTTTGTATCTAGGTCTAGTTATAAACACAGAGGTTTCCATTCTTTCTTCTTGTGAAAATATGCCAATCAGTTTTGTTTCTAGATTTTGGGGAATCCATACCAAGGTTGGTGTGAATCGATTCTTGGTTGATGTGGGTCCATACCAACAAAGGTTGGAGTGAATCCATTCTAGGTTGGTGCATATATTTATATACCAACCAAGGTTGGTATGAATGAGTGCGCTTCTATATTCCGAGGGCTCGCTATTCCGAAGGTCCGCTATTTGGAAGTTATAGATAGAGGGCGAACAGCAGAAAGATAGCAAATTAAATCCACTTCTTTGACACAGAGGTCAGTGCCACAATTGCACAACTAATAGGCAGCTATCGCATTAATAAACTTTTTGTGGAATGGCACACTTTCTAGAAGACCCTCAAACCTTCGGAATTGCGGACCTTCAGAAAAGCGGTCAATTTCAGATTGAGGTTCCTTTACTGTTTGGAATAGTAGACTCTTGGAAAAGTGGCCCTTCGGAATAAAGGGCTGCCCCTGGTGTGAACCCATTCTAGGTTGGTGTGAATTTATGTCAGCCAATACCATATGAGTTATGAGGAAGGAGCTGGCTACAGAAAGTTTCACGCCATGATCAAGCACATATACGTCCTTTTTCAGCCTGCCAATTATATTTGATCTAAGAGCTGTAGCAATTGAGTCTGACATTAACAAATTTTGTTTCTTTTCATCTCGGCAGGGTCCACAGTGGGGCGGCCAAGAGTTTTGACATGGAGGTGTGGAAGATACAGGGAAACAAGTGCACAGACAGGCCGGAAGAAGAAACTTGACAGTATCTTAAAGACAAGAGAGGAGAGAGGGAGGTGAAATGTGTTTCTGAAAACAGTCTTGTTTATCTACTTTGATATTAACCTCAGAGGGACAAGGGTGGAGTACTTGGACTGTGTTTGCCTCAGTAAGTTGCTACAGCAGAAAAAGGAGACAGCTTGTGTCACATTGGCACGTGCTGTGTGACATGGGGACCTCATGCCGAGGTAGAGGGGACGTGGTTTGCTCCGGAGGCTAGGAAGACCATATCGGGCAGGACAGTGTTTGCTTCACACCCTCTGATTAGATATCAAGTGAGCCAAAGGAGGCTGGAACAGACTTTTGCTCAGAGAGGACATTTTGACAGCCTTTTTGTGGACCGTTGTGGAATTGAGTAAATTGCTATCAGGATATATTGCCAACACCAAAAAGAGAAACAATATGACAAATTTGATAATATGTATGGACAATTAAAAGAAATATAAGACATTGAAATTTTTGTTGTTATTGATGTAATGTGGAATTTGAGTACAGCTTGTGATTCGTTTCATTGCGATACCCTCTTTTGCTGGATAAGTTAGAAAGATACCACATATTTGACATTTGTCGCATCTCGTGCGATGGATATTTTCAAAAGTTTTTTAGCCTCATTTGTGGAAAATTGCTTTCAACGTTCTACTTGCTAAATAGATCAGAAATTGCATCAAATTTAAAATTCGGTTAGTGCACACGCTTACTCCAAGAGAAAATGTCCTATATTGTTTGTTGACGATCGCGTGGCCACGTGACTTGTGTTCTGCTGAACAACGCCAAGGTTCGGTAACATTAGTCCCATGTCTTGACACGTGCCATTGTTTTGGCCTTGGTATTGTCCAAAACGTGACGGACAGAATGACCAGACCTAGAAAAGGACCGAAGTAAACAACGCGCTGATTTTGTGGTAGTGAAACTAAAATTCGTTTTATCATTAATTTTCGTCTTTGTAATTCCCTTTTAACTTTTAAGTATATAATCAAAGACCCGTTTTGAAAATCCTTTAATTCTTTAATTCATTAATTTCGATATATATATTATCATTTTACAATAGGCAAATTATAATCTTGTATTTTACCTTTAAATACACGTACAAAGTTATTAAAAGAGTTTTGTACCTTTGTATCGCTTTAGTCTGTAATAAATAGCTTCTGTAAAGAACATTTTAATGAGACGGATTTTCAGTGCTGTTGTGATCGCCGTATTCACCCGGCTGTAGTAGTACGTCTAGACAAGCCAATTGAAAATTTTATTTACCGTAAAATTAGAGATCATTAACAAGAATTCAATCTTAATTTAGCATCAAATTCGATTCATTAGTGGCTTGCTATGCCTTCGGGTCACCGTGTCTACAGTGGAGGCCGATAACGCTTGTTTTCAGCGACAGTTCTACTGCTTGGCTACTTTCCTTATTACTATTGAATTCCGAAGATCCAACCTTTTCAACTGACTTATTTAATACGGTTTTCATGGCACTGAGTTTAGATTACATAAGCCGTTCTCCCTGTAATTTGGGAACATTCCAGACCACCATCGGTATTTGATATTATCGATGGAGATAACAGAAGAGCTCAAATCCTCTAATACCTGACCGTTTCTCCCCTCTCTGCAATAATTTCCAGGCATTTATAAAGTGATAAAGAAGGTCTTGCTTGTAAGGCGTTGATCGTTTCTGAGAATTTCGGACAGCATCTGGAAATCGAGTATAAAGACGTCCCTGGAATATCTGACATTCCCTCACGATTCCCAATTATCCCTTGGTTTAGAGCAATGCATCTTAATTAGCGTTCCCAGAGCTTGGTGGTGTGCCCATTGTTTCACGTTAGTCCCTTTCTATTAATTTGCCGTATATTCGCGGACCATTGAGCACGGTAAGCATGGAAGCCATTGAGCGGATTAAGATCAAAGTCTTTCAGTACTGCATTAATGTGTAGACGAGGAACGCAGGTCGACGATTAAAAAAATGAGATGGGCAAGAAATGATAATGTATCAAGAGCGTTTAGGTTAATAACATTATTTCTCCTGCTGATCAGTTCATTTATTCGGCGATCAATTCAGAGAGAATTTCGGCAGCTTTTAAGAAATCCTTTGGGATGTTCAATTTGTCAAAATTGTCATGTTTCTTTTATCTTTTAAAGTACTGCCTTTCCGTACATTATGATAAGTTCGCCATTGCTCCGAAACCGAGTGCTGACAAACCTGCCTCGCTGTTTTTTTTTCTTTAGATTTGTCATCAAGTAATCAGGTTTTCCTGATTTTGACCAAATGCTACGATCAAAACGTCTATAAACAACACTTGAGCAGTACTAATCAGGTTAGCGGGAGATGGAGTACGAAGTGTTGAGGTGACGTAAATCATTCTGCATTTTGTGACGACTTACAGTATAATCCATTCTTAGCACCTTGAGTTTCTTCTGAAAATTTAATCTCGATAACTTGTTGCAGTGTCTTAATCTCAATCGTAAAAATATAGCTGTAAGTGTTACGTTTTTGCCAAAATGGAAACCACCAATTTACTGAAAATCTGTACATTTAGCCCATTTATTAAATAGAATAAAACAATTTTGATTTAAAAATAAAGTACCGACTGAACGCACTCTTCAGATGTTTTAAGTGCATGTTATTGTGGATGCATAAGGTATAATGGTGATGAGTCTTTGTAAGGAAATACGGAACATTATCTTCTCCATCGGACAGTCGCACGTTCAGCGATTTGTAAAAATCAAACTAGGCGTCCTGGGTTTCCAGAGCAGCACTTTGTCCGAACCTCGAGAGAACAGAAGAAGGAACGCAGGATGGGGGATGTGATAGTGCCTGACAACAAAAAGGGGGTTTGTCTGTGTGTGTGTAGTGCGGTGCACCTCATTAATCCACCTGACAGGCTGCGACATCAGGTGCCGCCGACGACAAAGGCTGGCCACATATCTTACGACTACCCTATTAACTGTAGCACCTTAGTTCAATTAAACTCTTAGTCAAATAACCCTGACTGCACTGCGGTTGTCTAAAGTGATTTGTACTCCTCGGCTATCAGTCTTCCACATATCATATCCTACCCAAGCGATTCAATTCGATTGAGGATTTATCACTCGCGTTGTCTACTTTATTTGTAAGCTAAACTGTTTGAGGGAGCAATGGAAGGAAGGGAAGCCTCTGCGTGAGGCGTCCTACCTGCGTGACATCCCGACGCACCGTTTATTAAGTAAATCAACGCCGGTCCGCACTCCTGTGGTCCCACCGGTCCGCGTTCCCCCTTTACTTACTGGGAACGCTCGTCACGACGTGTGCAGCCTTTCCTGGACATAATGCTTAATTTTCTGCTCTTTCTTTTATTGTAAAGTATATTTTTAGACGGTACTAAAAGGTATTAAAAATTCGGACCCCTTAGTCTGAGTGCCATTCAGTCCTCAATACCCTTATTTGAAGCCTCGTTAAAACCCCATGCAAGTTACATTCAGCATGCTGAATGTGTTTTTTCTTTTACTATTTTCATTTAGTCTAACTTCAAATATTTACACTTCCAGCTTTACTGTGGTAGTGGGACTGGTGCGAACAAAAGGCTTCGCAAAATAAGTGTAACAAAACTTAGAGCAAATCCCGTCTTCCAACGTTGATGGACCAATTATGTTCTAATAAAACTGTTTTGTCGTGCTTTTGAGGAAACTAAATCGGGTGTTTACTTGTGGATTTCGGTCAATCACAATCTCAACAAATACGCAATTATTGCAACTCTATTGCTTCCCAATCTAGCATCGCTTTTATGAAGCGTAGCTACCGGGCGCGGAAGGCCGTGAATAGAAAGCAGAGGGAACAAGTTGAACCTCTTATTTGACTTTTGAGTCGGGATCAGTTTACTAGTCCAGCGCAGGGGAGTACACATGGTTATGGCTTGATACTAACCAGGGACACCGTGCCATACAAGATCAAAAAATCAACAACTAGGGGAAAACAAACTGGACTTAACAAACCGTGACCATGTCTCCGCGTCCCCAGAAACTGCCACACTGGACAGGTGCAGGGAGCGGGGCGATGGCCAACGATTTTCAGGACAAGAAAAGGAATTAACACGAAAGATTTGTTTTAAAAAGGATACAATTGTTTCAAGCCTTTCTCCCCCAACATCGCCTTACTCCAGTTTATCCCAGGTGGGGAGCGTGAAAGATCAAGGATACTTAAGGAACTGGAGGTGGGGTGAGGGGTTAAAGGCAGGGGGGTACGACCTGCATGTTATTGCTACAGTATTGTTATCTATGGTGGATTTTAAGGCGACGTCCGATAATACCACTGGCCACAGGATTACTTCGATCAGCTTACGAAAGTGGTTTAACTACGACGAAGCCCTCAGTCACAGGATTAACGGAATAAATATTCCATTTAGTTAAGTCCAAAATTCGATCACTCGCATGAAAGAGCGCTTTATAGCGTTTCAGACAAGGGATATGTAAACTGGTTAGTGTATTAAGGTTTAGTATTGACTCGGAGAATATTGGTATATTTGCTATCTAGTATTTCAACGATTATTGAACTGCGGTTGTCTGTAAGACTTGATATTAATATTCAGAGACGTCACGAGGACCAGTGCCGCTCTGCGGGAGTAGCATTTAAACCAGCGTGGAGACACGGAGCAGCAAGAGGCAGCAGCCAACTACACCGCACACTATCACTGGCCAGGACCATACGTACGGATACACCATAAGGCTGAGATACTACGTTTTAAATTTTTTACGCAGTTGGATTACTAGTCAATCACCGCTTGCTGAACTTGGAGCAAGTTTATTATACCTCGTCTTTGATGTTTGCCGTTGCGCCCCGCTTTCTTTGAGGCGAGGATCTGCACGGGGTTTCTACGAGGAGCTTGTCGTTTACGCCCGGTTGTATAAATGTAAGACAGTTGCAATGAACGATGCGGTTGGTGAATTTGTTAACTTTAACTTTTATACTGACATACCTTAGCAAGTTAACTGGCATCCGAGGCGCCCCAGAGAGAGGAAAACGAAGTAAGTATATTATTTACCTGGTTGTCAAATCAGTTGGTTCTTTGTCAAATGTTTTTATGGATACTTCTCGGAGTGATTTAGAGAAGTTGGTTTCCTTCATTTGCCAGTGGCATCATTAGATTCTGTAATATTTCAGTTAAGAGATGTGCATGACTGCTTTACACTACAATAGATAAATAGATAGGTAAATGAACTTGTAAATATGTTTAAAATTGAATTCATAAAACAATTATAAAATGAAAAAGGAGAAATTTTATATCAGTGGTAGGGTCTTGACGCATGATTTTAGTCTTGTTTCCCAATCATATACTAATGAATCAAAACCAACCAGCCATAGTTTTAATTCTGGGCAATAAAATTCTACAGTGAAACATTTATTTCGGAAATAATAATTAACCCTCCGTTGTCAGTGTCATTTCTCTAATGTCTATTAAATTGGTTGCAATTCAAAAAGGTTCATAAATTTCCAAAACACTTTCAAATATTGAGAGCATACGAAGCAGGGTTTTTTTAATGTTCTCGGGAAGAAAAACAATTTTATTCGAAAAACATAGGATAAGAATGAGATTATTTGCAGATTGTAAAAGTTGCGATATTCTCTGACTAAGCCAGTAATAGATAAGTTTATAGACTTCAGTCCGAGCAGGCGGCGGGGGCGTGACTTGCTCAACCTTTAATAATGTTTGAACTTGACTTAATTCGGGGGTTAATCCCTCATACGTCCACCTCTATTTCACAGTCGTCAATACTATGGAGAGCTGGGTAAACTGGATGGTAGTTCTATTTGTCAGTCATATTTACTGTAAATCTGGGTAGCGACCTTGGTTATTTGCCACTTCAAAGTTGCTGGGGAACTGAACTGTTCAACATTTTCATAAACGTCAATCTTCCACCTGCCAGCCAAATGCCCCATATCTGTCACAAATAACGCACATAATGTATTAATAGGGATATTTAAACAATTTTTAGCAAATCAAATATCATATTTTTTTTACGAATCTTGAACTGCGTAAAGTGGCTGAACAAAAGATATATCGAGTGTACGCAGGCATGGGTTATGTAGGCACGTGCAATTGATTTGGTCTGTAACTGTGTAGAAATTTTAAACATAACGCTCGTGGCCGGGACAGGTGTCGTAGTTTAGCGTTACATCACAGGTCAGCAAGGAGGTGAAATATTGTTATTAATGAAACTATGGCAATCACGGTGGACCGAGCTATTACGGGGGGAGAGAGCTGAGGAAGCCATGAAAATCACAACATTTTCAAGTTATCATTGACATCCAAGTCTGATCACTCGGGCCTGTCCCGCGTACCACCCTCACGCAAGTTGTTATAATTATGCACTGTTCTCTTTAGAGGTGTGTACAAGTGCTTGTTTTTGTTTTTATGTCGTTACATCTCCCCCCTGACCTCACTCAGCAATATTGTGGTTTGAACGCGGGCAGGTTTTGTGTGATTTGTTTATTTTTTAAACATAGACCTGCCTACCACGAGCCAGGTGACAATACACCACAGCGCTGGGGACCCAAAATCATATTTTTCTTGGCAGGAAAACCTGAAAAGGGGGGGATTATGTGGCGGCTCCGAGAGCTCACATACAGTGTGACTATATAGCATGGAGAAACAGTCGGAGCCAAGTTTAGTTTCAGTAGAAGTTTAATCTTACAGTACTTCCGCGGGAGGAAAATGAGATCTTTCAATTTTGTGACACGGCCTTACCCATCACAGAGCCGCTGTAACGTAAAAACTTCGCCTCCAGATGTTTTCTCAGGGAATTGGTTAAAAAGTTTGCTCAAGTATTTACTGTTATCACCAACGAGCAGGGGTAGATAGAGCCGTAGATTAGCAGGGTGTGCACCGGCCCAGAAATTGGCGATACGAGATACCTTACTGGTAAAAATTTTATAATCTAAATGACGAACTGATCATAATTAAAATCTGGGCGCATGCGTGATTAATCTTTCTCGGATGACATAGATAACTTCACTTTTATTGTCTGGAGTTCTTTTTTGAGAAGGATGAATAGGACAAATTGTCTCCAGTTACTGGTTCTGACTAACAAGTTCCTGCACTGTCATGATCATGCGGCGAGAAAATGCCACATTTAGTTTTAGTTGCATTTTTTTCTGTTAATGGTGAAGTACATTTAAATTGTCAGCTCATTTAAAAGAGCCCCGCCTGTAATTATTTCTTTTGTGGAAAATCTGAAAATGTTAATATCTTATAAATGGTCCATTACGTTTTTCCTAGATGACAATCCTTGTTCCCAAAATATCTTATTGGGAACATATTTTATAATCCCTAATTTAAAAAAGTCTATAGGGTTACGGATTACTCAACGATATGCCGTATCAATTACAATACACGATCAAGGTACCGGCGTTTCCATGTGCTTTGAATAATCTTATTTCCTACTTGAATATAGTTAATACACATTTTTTCATCTGGTTGTTGGTATTAAATTAAAGAAAACAAAAATGCTGTCTGTCTGCATGTACCCGGCTATTACGTTCATGATTTCCTGTAAATGTAATTTGTAGAAAAAGTGTCAAAACATTTATTTTGCCAGTTGCAGATAACCGATGTAAGTTAACTATTTTGTCACGAGTTCTTTCTGTCATATCTAAAAATTTTCAATGACATATATACCTGTATAGCATATATTTTTTCAAATGGCCTTAAACCCCCTTACAGAACAATCTACATGGAACTTGTTAAGTAGTTTTGCAGAGGCAGATCATGGTGTAACTAAGTGATCGAACTTGAAGGTCCAATCATCAGTTGTGACACCGTGTACCACTTGTACACTCGCTCTTGGACTGTAGTCGCGACAAATAACAGTCATGTCAAAGCTGACGCCCAAAGAAACAATACCAGCACTGTGCTCTCTACGGGTGTGTCTTGGTGCCGTATAGTAGGCAGGATAGCGTTTGGGTGACTGGGAACCTACTCATAAAACACCAACACGCTTGGGGAACAAATGGCTGGGTCACCGTTTACCATTCTATTCCCCCACCACCCGACCATCACCAGTGACGTTGCCTGCCTTGGATCTGAATTAGATTTTTAGATGGAAATTAAAATTGAGATTCGTTTAAGTGCAGGAAAACAACCTTCCTCAAGAACAATTTTCTGGGTAATAACATTACGCGAATTACACAAGGTTTACAGGATCTCAATAGTGAGCATCGCAGCAGCGTTTTACAAGTGTATTTCTGGGTTTACCTATCGATTTCAGAATGAGATCCTTCAGTTAATTCAAGCACAAGAACTAATTTAATTAATTAACCTCTTTTCGCTTGCCCTTTTTATCCCAATGTATGAAGTACATGTAGTTAAATTGATATTTGTATTGAGTACCATTGATTGGGTTGACTGATAAGGCCAGTCCCGTGCTGCTACATACCCACGCCATCTCGATCCACATAACAGTGGAATCTTTACACATCACGTATTACACAGTCCTATTGTTGTGAATTCCTTCGAATACCAGGCATAACACAACTTCATCTAGAGCATCTGGCCACCCTCGAAATGCTTGCAATAGTTTCAGAATGATGGAATGGTAATAGTTAAGAATATTCTTTTTGACTGTGATTGGAACCACTTATAAGCAAGGCAGTGAAGCTGAAATCTCAGCGAGGGTATGAACACCAGGTGGGAACATCTGAAGAAAAAAATACTCGAGCTGATTTTGATAAAGAGATGGGACTTTTTTGGACCATTGGTTTTTCTAAGATTATGAGCAGTGGTCTTTGGTGCGATGGGGCTTTCTCCTCAATGCTTCGATCCACTTTTTGTGTGCGTAATTAACGACCCACGTTTCTGTAAAGACGCTATCTGAAAACAGATTCAAGGAAATTAATGCAATGGGAAATAAGACACAGTTCCTAGAAATGTTGCTTTGTGCATACAGCTGCGAAATATAATTAGTTGCAAATAGTTTCGGTGACAGAGCATGCTGTTTGAATATTGACAATGTTTGGATAGGAATTTGTGGGGGAACCAGATGCAAAGTTACAGACTCGAGGTATCAAAGGTTATTTGTTTGTTTCCTTTGGGAATTTTTTACTCATGAGACTCTGTCGGTTACTTAAGCTTGACAGTAGTCTTTTATTTGGCACTGACTTCAGCTCCTGTTACATCAATATATAAAGTTCAGTATTACAGATTTATGAATTGACTGTCAAATATCGTCAAACCCCAACTTTGGAAGAGGGTCATAGTGGGCCAAATTCATTCTCTATGCGGTGGCAAGCCTGGTGCAACAAGGACTTTTAAGTGTCTTTCCTTGCTTTCCATTGTAACTGGGTGGCTTTATTTGAAATGAGATGGCTGAGATCCACACTTCGGCGCGATGGTCTAAGTTCATGTCCTTGCATGCAAACAGATGGGCAATTGAACCGGTGGCAATGTGTTGCCCAACTTATGGGGAAATTGAGGTCATTTTTACACAAGAATTGATAAGTAATTTTTTCTTTGAATGAAAAAATATGTTTGTGAGTTTGAATTCTTCTGTGGCCGTGAACCAGCGGCCGGTGGTCAAATGTCATATCAGGCCATGGATGACGGAAACATTTCTAAATATGAATTATAAGAATAATACAATTATAGTGTGTGATTATGGACTGAGTCTACGCGTGCGAAATGACTAACATTAAAAGCTAAATCCAAGAAGTAAAAAAAAATGTTAAGACATCGTAAATGTTGGAAATAGTCAAAAATAGTACCTTTGGTTCTGGGTGATTAAATCTTATTGATTAAATAAAACATTTTTATAGTTTTTAGCGTTATAAATTCATCTATACAGGATAAACATATTATTTATGAACGTTTAAGATTATTTACACTGTATATGCACACTGAAATCGTATTTGTTTACAAAATTCATTAGCCCAATAAATTTCGTACACTGTTGTAAATCGATAAATAATGAATACATGAGGGAAAACAAAAGATTAAAAAAACTGGGGACGTCTGACAAGATGAGACAAATTT